GAGATAGCCCGTTGGTCCCCCCAATTGGCATTAAAAAGCAGTCTCTGCTGATGTTCATAGGGGGAGGGGTGATCGGGGAGGCACAGCGACTGGCCACTCAGATGATGCTCGGTCCCTCTGCTATCGGCTATCCCCTGGCCGGTGTCCCCCATTGGGGGTTCCCTGAAGGCAATCAAGGCCACCCTGGGCTGAAAAGGCCACCCTATGTCAGATTAGACACAATATGGTTAGTCTGATGATAAATTCTTTCAATTCACCTTCACTACCTCCCTACCACTACTCCTAAGGCTTATACAGGGGACCCCTGCGAACATAACTTTGTTGTCTTCCTCCAGCCATCAGAGGGGATGCATGTTGTCGCCCCCCCAACCATGGCGGTCAAGGATGGGGTGGGGCCGACGGAAACCACGCAAAGACTGAGCATTTTGCCAGTAGGGAGGGGGGGTGTATTTGGGCCTCCCTCCATTTCTCTCTTTTTTTTTCTTTTTTTTTTTAACAAAAATCACGGCGTTGGACGATACTCATGTGGTCTCATAGGGAATGTGACACTTGGGAGAATTCACCGGAATCTACCGCCTGGATTTGACTCTTTTTTTTCCTATTATATAAAAGCTTGCAATTATATCCCTCAAAATTTCAACCCACTTGCAAGTGGTGTGTGGCAGAGTGTTTTTTTTTTTTTTTTCCAACAAAATCCCATTCTGGGCATCGCCACACCACTCTCGAAATGCGCAAAATCAGAATGAACTTCCCAGTAGAACGTGGCCAGATGCACCTGCCACTTTTTTGTCTTTTTCACATTTCGAGAGTGGTGTGGCGAGGCCCTCTAACAGGTCAAATCAATTGGCCGCATATACCTTCCTGGGCATGCTTGGGGCCCGCCACCCATAGATAGACCACTGGATCTCCCAATCCGCATTGAGCAGAGTCTGCTGATGTTCGTAGGGGTGGGGACCACCACCTGAGGGGAGGCACAGGGACTGGTCCGGTTGGCATGGTCCCTGATACTACCGGCTATCCCCCTAGCCGGTATCACCCACCTGCAGGTCGGGAACAGCCCCCCCATGCTCTCTCGTGAACACGGTTCTGGCTGCTACGGGGTTCCTTATATGCCTACAATTAGGAGTAGTGGTAGGTAGGTATTGTGAGGTGAATTTGAGAGAAGAACATAGCTTTAAAAAAAAAAAGAAAAAAAAAAAGGCCGGGGACACACAATTCAAGCCGGAGTTATCCTGGCAGCATCAGCTAGTTTAGCTTACGAGCAAATGCTCATCCTGCTAACCACGCAAGGCTGGGAAAAGCCTAGGAGCAGATTTAGCCAATACCGGGCCGCTGTCCTGAAGTCCCAACCCTAAGAAGGAGGCACAGACCAAAAGTCCAACAAGCCAACAACCACCAGCTGCGTCAGGCCTAAAGAGCCAAACAATCTTGAAAAGAGAAAAACCGAAGGGAGGAACTTCCTAGTTGTGGCAGAGTGTTGGCCTTAGGGGCTCGCCACACTAAAACACGATTTTCGATAGTTTGTATTGGCCACACAGCATGTCAGAGAATTGTCAGAGAATTGTCAGAGAATGCTTCTTGGCACCTCCTTGGCAAAGCTGATGTTCCTAAGAGATGAAAGATAGGGGCTCGCCACACAGCCCTTCGGGACATGGACACTCCACACCGGGTCTTCGCCACACAGGCTTCAACACAACTGCTTTCGAC